GGCCGCCCGGCCCCTCGGCCTCCGCGGGCGGCGGGCCTCGGGACCCTTCCCCGGCGCCGCGTCCGAGCGCGGCCGCCGCCCCGCCCCGCCCCGCGGCAGCCGTGGAAGGAGAGGGGGCCCGCGGCCGGGGGAGGGCGCGGGGCAGGCGAGGCCGCTTCTCCGCTGGCGAGCGCGGCCCGGGTCTGCGGGGCCCGTCCAGGACCGGGAGGAGGGGTGCGTCCCGGAGCGCGGCCGGCCACCCCACCCCCGACTGAGGGCGGCCAGCGCCCGAGAGGGCGAGGCGCTCCTGGCCGCAGCAACGGCGGGGGGCACGTGCGCTGCAGCGTAAGCCGGTGCAAGTTACGCACATCGAGGAAAAAGTCCCAAGCATTCAGGCGTGAGCGAAGAGCGATCTTGGGATTGTGGCGAGCAATTAATGCGGGGTTAATGATATATTATTTATTTAATGTAAGCGTTGCGCGCCCCCCCCCCCAGGTAATCTGATGGGATCTGAGCTGGCAGCGCTTGGCCAACAAGCAATCTGGAGGTTAACGTAGACATTTCGCTGCAAATATCCACCCAGGGTGCTGCTGACGTGAAAAATGCAAACTGTGTTAAACACAGCGAGCAAGGGCAAGGTAAATAGATCTGCTATGGTGAGCACCCGTGGAATAGCGTGCACCATCTGGTCACCATATCGGAAAAAAAGGTTGGGGTGGAGTTGGACAAAATGCAGAAATGTGCAAGTAAATGGACGAAGGGGTTCTAGCAACCTCCCCGAAGGTTACAACTGGGACTGTTTAGCTTAAAAAAAAAATCAGGGGAGACATGATAGAAGTGTTTGAAATTATGCATGGTGTGGAGAAGGATGGATCTTTTTTTCTCTCCCACAGCAGTAGAACCCAAAGGGGTCACCCCATGAAGCTGGTGGGTGGGACAGATAAGAGGAAGCTGTTCTTCTCATGGTGCAGAATTAAACTGCCACATCCACTCCCACGGGATGTAGGGATGGCCACTCATTTGGGTGGCTTCAAAAGGGAATGGGCCAAATTCAAAGAGAAGTCTAGGAATGGCTAATTGTCCTGATGGCTATACACTGCCTCCCAGTATCAAATGCTTGCACATATGCATCAGTTGCTGGGGAACATGGGCAAAATTACAAGGGTGTTCCACCCATTTCTGCCCACTCCTACTCAGTAGTGTAACAAAGCAGGCAGTCAAAGACTCAGCCTAACCTACCTGTTAAGGTAGGAGAAGGTTAAGACAGGAGAATTACGTAAACTGCCCTGAGTTCCTTTGAAAGATGAAAAGGTGGGATACACACAGAATAAATGAATGTTTGAGGTGAAGTGCAGTGGATCAGCAAAGAGTCCCCAATTATTTAACTAGAGTAGCAACAATATGAGTCTTTTCCCACCCGCCCCTTGAGGTAACCCTCAGTATTTGCATACTGAAGCACTAAGAGCACTATTTGGTTCTGGTATACAAATGAATTCCTGAGCTCAGAGTTCTTTAATTTTATCTTTTTTGCACTTGGCTACAGTTTGGGGACCTCAAATCTGCCCATCTGGGCTAAAAACCACAACACCACACCAACAAAGGTGCCTCCACGTTGTACATTGGCAGCTTGCAGCACTTCTGAGATTAAGCAGAAATTGGATCAAAATCACTATTGCCACTCCCTCCATATCTATCTTCCTTGCATTCCTTGAGAGGGTTACAGTCCCCACTTCTCTCCAGAACTACTTGCTAAAGTAAAATAAAATTGAATCCGCCCCTGTAAGAAACTAACCTGCAGTTAGTGACCACAAATATATATGCATGTAAATCATTCCTTCTGGCATTCAGCACTTTGTTCTGTGCTTTGAAAAGAAATCATCAGACTAGTTCTTCCCCTCACTAAGCTTTCATAATATACATATACAGAGAATTACTCAGAAGTCTGGACTGGCTTTCCCAATATCCTCACTTCCAATTTCCTTATTACTTCAACTAAATGTTGCTAGAGATACACCAAAATTAACCTTCTCTGCAGATTTTCCTCGAGCCCTCAGCTCTGACAACAGCCCAAATAGAACTTTTTCAAATGCCAGCTGTTTCCTCCCTGCCCCCTTTCCCAAGAAGTTCTATTCACAAAATTAGTCACCTTTCTATACAAATTGGGCTCAAGGGTTCTCCTTAACAAACCCAGCATACTCCAAAAACTATCATCCAGGTTGCTTGGGTATTGTGTCAAATAATGAACTGAAACGTAGAAGCCAACTCAGTTCTGTAAGAACTCGCAGTCCCCTCTCCTCTAGGTGTCTGGGTGATCCTATTCCAGGTGAAAGATGATACAATTATTGGGATATATGAGGAAAGGGCAAAGTGCCAGAAATCCGTCTTTTGGCCCACACAAAGCCCAACATGCAGTTCTCTCTGTTCTGAGCAGTGCCAAAAATAGTCATTTTGCCTTGTTCAGGTTTTCAAAAGAGGATGGTGTAGCTTAGTGTCCTGCAACAGCAAGATTAACAAGATACCTAACCCTTTTGCAAGCTGAAGCCAATTCTCTGGTTATGCAGCCCTGCCTACGAGTGAATCATGAGAACCCAAGGGCCCTGCTGGTCATGTCAGTCCTCCATATAGTCTGTTCACACAGTGGCAGCCGGATGCAGAGGAGCCCTCAAGCAGGGGGAACCCGAGTCCCACAGCACCCTCCAAGCCCATGTTCTCCAGCAGCTGGCATATGCAGGCACACTGCCTCTGGTATAGGAGCACATAGCCAGCAAGGCCAATAGCCACTGGTTGCCTCCTCTTCCATGAATTTGACCATTTCCCTCTTAATCCCACCCAAACTGGTGGCCACAGAAGTGAATCCATAGTTTGCGCTGTCTGAAATCCTTTTATCTGTCCTGAATCTCCCACCAAACATGGGATAAGAAAAGGGACGAGGGGAAAAGTGTCTCCTGATCCACATTTCCGCATGATTCCTACAATCTTTTTTTTTTTAGTGTAACAGAACTGTCCGCAATATTCTAGCTGAGGTCACTCCGTAAGTTTGTACAGGGGTAGTCTGAGAGTTTTATTTTCAATTCCTTTCCTAATTATGCAGAGCATGGTGTTTGTCTTTTTCACGGCAACTACGCAAAACCATTTTTATCAAGCTGTCCACCACAACCCCAGAATGCCTTCTTTGGTGAGCCACTGCTAGACCCAAGCCCAGCAGCATCTGCTGGAAGTCGAGAGTGGGGGCAGAGGGGGGTGGGTGGAAACCATGTTTGTGATAACGAGTAATTAAATCTGAGTGGCTGTGGTCTACCTGCAACTGAAAAAGAATACCTAATGCTAGATGATTCATAGGCACCTAAACAAGAGAGTTACTTTTCTTTCTGAGCTGGCTGTTCAGTCTCCATTCAGCAGCAAATCTATATTCCAGTTTAGCAGCTCAAGTCTTCAGTTTCTGTCCACAAAAAGCTAATGCAAGTTGATAGATCATTAAAGTGCCATGATTCTTTGCTGGAACAGAATAGCATGGCTGCCCCATTGAAATTTGCTACAATCTCATATTGGCCTTAATCCTGTTTATCATTTCTACTCCAAGAACGTGACAAAAATAAAAGCTCTTTCTTGTTTGTCTTCAAGATGTTAAGTTCATGGAGCAAAATGGACATGATGCCATACAGGCATATCATGTCCCAAAAATATTGGGGGTGGGTGGGTCTATATTGTAAAAGGATTCTTAATGCTGTGCTTTAGGGAACACATATAATTCTAAAGCCTCCACTGAGATCCTCTCTCCAGGAGCCCAAATCATAATGAACACTCTGGACCCTGGCCACAATTTGATTCCTTCCCTGCCCTACCACCTCAAAACAGCACCAACACACAGTGGTTTGTAACAACCTGGCACGCCTCTTGCATTAGAGGGACCGTAAAGTCAGTTGTGACAAAGGTACAAAGTTACCGCAGAGATAAAGACTGCAGGGTTTGTGCAAAGCAGATGCAAACTCTTGGCTGCGCCTACAAAAGCTGTCTCAATTGTAAGTGTGAAGACTCAAAACTTACAAACAGAGCATTAGGGCAGTCCATGGGCTGGACAAAGGGTTGACCACATGCCCAAATTTATGTGGGTTCTAGGAGGCAGACAGCAGCATTCTCATACCTCAGGCTAGAATTCCCATAAACATGTTTTAATACATTCATCAAGTACATACATGAGGGTATGTTCTTCAGATTCTCAGCCGAAGTTACATGTTGTCCGAAGGCTTCACTAGGGAGTATGTTTGAATTCAGAGAAGTCTGAGCAAGACTGAATATATTTGGAAGGCTGCCTTCCTACAGGAATGTGTGTGAAGGGCATTTATGTAGGAAAGGAATATATGATATGATAAAACGTATGATGTATTTAAAATAAAATGTTCCATGGAAAAAAGTGTAGCCTGTTTAAATGATGCAATTAGGCAGTTAATGTCTTCTTTCATATAAGCTATCCCACTTCTACCAATCACGAAGTGAGAAAAGGCACAGCAACGTCCTTCAGCTTGGGGCTACCAACCTGCTCCAGGCACTCTTGGATGAGACCAATTATCTGGATCCCTTTTTAGTCAGAGTTGAGACTGGGTCGGGGCATGGGAACAGTTGTTTCCCAGTCTGATGATCCATGTCGGAAGAGAGACGGTGACCCTATTGATTTTCCTCATGTTCTCATCAGTTTTCAATCCCATTGGCTACTAGTACTGCTCTGGGCCAACTGTCCAAGTGCAATTCACTGCAACGGTTTTGCTCCTGTTTGACCGATCACTCCGGAAGGTAGGACTTGAGGAATTTTGTTTGGCCCTGTGGATTCTCCCCAGTGAGGTTCTGTTCTCCAGAGTTTTGGGGTACGTTTCCATCAGTACGCTCGAATACCCAGTTCTAGCTCCCCTTTTCACCTTCACCGTGTGAAGCTGTGGATAGCAATGGTTCCTCACTGTGACAGCGGGAAGTAAACTGAAGCTTAATCTAGGCAAGACTGGGATACTGTTGGTGGGTGGTTCTTCTGACCAAATGGGGCATTTTCTACCTGCTCCTGATTAGATTGCCGTGGCCCTGGAGGAGGATGGTGGTTTAGGGCTATTTTGTGCTTGCAGGACTCAAGTGGTAGCACTGGGGCACAATGCCTTCTACCAGTCTTGGGTCAGGGTCCTGCTTCATCCCTAGCTGGACAAAAGAACCTGGCTTCAGTCACCTATGTTTTGTTAACCTCCAGAACAGATTACCATGATGAGTTTCAGGCCTTTGAAAATTCCACTGTTGTACTGCTGACAGTGAGGAAGCTCTTCCTGATGTCCAGCTTGAATCTGGGTTGCTGCAATTCAAACTGATTATTCTGTGTCCTACACTCTGGCATCAGCAAGAAGAGATCTTGACCTTCCTCTTTGTGACAGCCTTTCAGGTACTTACAGAGTGATACCATGCCCCCCTCGGTCCTCTCAAGGCTGAACATGCCCAGTTCTCTGTCTCTCCTCACACGGCAGTGTTTCCAAACCTTGGATCATTTTTGTTGCCCTCCTCTGGACCCTTTCTAATTTACCTGCATCTTTCTTAAATCTTGGTGCCCAGGACTGGACATAGTACTCCAGATACAGTCTGCCTAGTGAGGAGTATAGAGGAACTGCTACTTCTTGTGATTCGGAAGTAATACTTCTGTTAATGCATCCCAAAATAGCATTTGCCCTTTTTGGTGGCCGCATCGCATTGCTGTTTAGTCTATTGTCCACAATTACCCCAAGATCTTTTTCCTGTTCAGTTCTGTTGAGCCATGTATTCTCCATCTTGTATCAATGCATGTGGTTTCTGATTCCTAGGTGGAGGACTTAGCACTTGTCCTTATTGAATTGCATTCTACTGCTAATGATACGCACTTTAACAGTAAGAATATGTGACCTGCATAAACTTAACACTTTCAGAGTACAGAACTCAAGCAAGGGAATGAAGAACACAGAATTGTTACTTGGCAGAAAATATGCTGTCCTCCAGCCAAAACAAACCAGATCTAAAATTACAAAAAAGCCCAATTTTAGCCCATCAAACCATTGAGAGGAGCTCTGACATACAGATAAATGTTTAAATACCTGCAGTTTTTATATCAAGCTTGCAAGTAATTTTGGTGACTAAGAGGACTTTGCTGTATCAGCTTCCCGAAGCAGTACTGGGAAGGCAGAGGGAAGGAGTTGAGCAAAACAGCTTGTAAGGAGTAGCAGGAAGCAAATTATTATTTCATTTCAATAATTATAAATTATTTCACCAGGTCTGAAAAATGTCTTTTTCAAACTCACACTGAAAAAAATGTTACTACAACCAGACATCTCTAAGAGACAACTGGGAAGACATTTCAAAACCAGGAATATTCTCCCCTGGCTCCAAGATATCTGGCCATTATCCTCACTTTTTCTCTAGACCAGGTAGAGTAGTACATTTAGCAAACCTATCTCAGCACAATAGTAGGTAAGAACACTCACCTTCTGTGTCTAAAAAAATTCTGTCACAGTTTTGAGGGAAACCTGCTGCCTGTTCCATGAGTTACCTCAGCAAGCGGTTGCCACCAGGACCTGAACTGGTTCCGTCTGCATGATGAGCTGCTGGGCCAAAGCCATACCCATGAGGTTTCGGGCAGCTTCAAGCGCTGCACAAACTCCCCATTTGAAGGGTCCAAGTCACAAGGCTCTCTGTGAGTCAGCAACTGTCATGCCAGGGCATGTTAGCTCATATAAGAGGCTGTTCCAAGATAATTTCCATTCTTTGTTGCACTAGACAATCTGCCTTGAAAGCTATCCCAAACAAGGTGGCTAACCCATGTGAGTTAATAAAACCACAGAGGAAAATTGATCTTTCTTAATTTGGTCATTTCCACCACCCCTGCTCCATGCTAATCATTCAGTTGGAACACTGACTACATTTCTCCTTGGAATCCACTCAGGACAAACATTCTGGAACTGCTGGGACAAATAGGAAACAACCAATAGACCTGAAAACCTCCACTATATAGGTCCTTAATGAGCCTCTATCTCTGTGTTTGCCCCCTGCATGCAAGCCTGGATTAGTCCACCCACATAGTTTTGCTTCCTGGCATTTTTATTAACCTGGTGCTGGACCCCCCCCCAAGGGTGTACACATCACTTGTGCAGCTTGTAAACCTGTCAAAGGAGTGAGCACACTGGATGGAAGTCTTTACATGCACACAGACTGAAGTGGGAGCATCCTCCGCAATGGGAGCAACCACGTCGACTAAACATATAAAGGCGACACAAGAGATTCTCACCTGGAATAAGCTGTGCGCCTCGTTCTAGTGCCTAACAGAATTCAAGGCATTTGCTCCAATCCCAACATATTACAGAACAGACACACCATTCTTTATAGCAGGGATGTTTAATTGCTCCCCAAATTAAATATTGGCAGGCACAGAAAAAGCACTTCTTTCCCAACATTTACAAGAGGATGTGGTGACAAGAGAAGCCCGACACTAGTGCCAGTGTTCAAGCGCTTCCCACTCCACAGGCAACGTCTCCCCAGACATTCTGGTAACTTGACGTGTGCCCAAAAGAAGCAACAGCAAGGTCCAATGGTTACAGCTCCCCAAGACTGGCAGAGCCTTGTGTTCCTTCATCTGTTGCTACGCTTTTCCAGAAGGAAGAAAAAGGGACAAGAACAAAGCAACCCAAACTGTTGCTCGCTGGACCCTACATACTCCCATTAGCAGAATGATGGCTGGATTGTGACCAAGAGAAGTTGGCTATTGGATGACTTGTCAGTGATGAGAGGGATGCATGGTGAAAGGAAAGAAATGCTACCATGGACTCTTATGCCAAACCCAGAACCACAGACTTTCTAATGGCAACTTTTAAGAGGAAACAGAAATTTTTCTTAAATTATAAAAAACATTGTTTGCAAACCTGTAGAATTAATTATCAAAGGATTTTATGTGGGCTGCAGGACTGACCTTGGATCTGTGCACAGGTTTGGATCTGTGCTTTGTCAGTGTAATCATGGAGACAAAGCAGAACTCGAAGGTTCTGAAGTGAGATTATTTATCTATTTGTCAGCAGTTGCAGGGGACAGACTCCAGCAGCTCCTAATTGATACCAGGAACATCTGTTCCTCTGCAACAGGGTAGGGGACATGGACCCACACTTCCAGATCCAAAGTCAGAACAGTCTGCAAGGATGGGCATGGACAAAAGGGTCCCACTATCAAAACGTAAGAACAGTTACTCAGCAGATCTTTTTCCCAATTACAGACATACTCCTTGTGAGGTAGGTGAACATTTTCCCCTTGGTGTGTGAACCGATGCAAAACAGAAAAGGCTCCATGACGTTAGCAAAGGCAGCAGTGCCAGGTGGACATCTGAGCCAAAATGGAAGCTTGCCTGACTGCAAAACAAACCGGTCCTTCAGGAAAGGTGACTGTTTCCATGCAGCTCAAGCTCTTGGTATCAAGGGACAGCTCTGCCTCTGACAAGGGCACCTTGCGCTCTCTCTCTCTCCCGCTTTACCAGCTGGCCCTTGAACCACTGAGCAGGATGTCAGGTAGCAGCACCCGTGCAAAGTCAAAAGCTTCCCTTAAGCCGATCTCATCAGACCCCTTTACGTAGCTCGGAAGTGGTTCAACCCCAACAGTCACGTCTGCCGTAGGATCCGCGTGTCTTTGCCCCTGTCACCATCGATAGTAGCAGCCAGAAGCCCCCACTCCTGCCACCACGGATAGCTTATGTATACTCATTTGTGTGTGTATGTGTATACCTATATATACACGACTCAGAAAGGCCTTAGACATTACACAGGTCCCTGGCTTTTCCCACCAGCTGTTCTCTCACTGTCCCACATGAGGGGCCTTTCCAGGGGTAGCTGCTAAGTACACAAATAAACAGCAACGGGGCTGTCAGCCAGCTTGGATGCTCAGGTCTCACACATACACGCCACGCACCAGGTCTTGCTCTTGCTCTGCCACCTCATCAGGCCAGCCCGGCTCTGCAGCCCTTCCTCTTGGAAACAGGGAGCAGGGGCATCTCTTTCTGACAGAGGCTCACCAAGTCAGCTTTGCTCTTCCTCAGATGACTCCTCTTCAGCCTCTTCCAACCACTGGATAAACTTCTGAAGCTGCAGGAAGAAGACGTAGTGGGTAATTATCAAAGCAGCCGTAATGCTGAGCCACCTAACACCCAACACGTTTAGTCCCAAGAGAGGCTGAAGTCTCTTGCCAGGGTCACATCAGGCGGTCCTCACGAAGTAGAGGGCTTGCTACACCAAGAATACTCACAGGAGGATTTATTATCTTGCATGCAAGAGGCAAACCCTGTTAAGAGGGACTATCAAACCCTGATCTAACCCTCATTATACACCCCCTTCACCCTGATCGGCTGTTAGTTTAACTACAGTGGTGACTAATTTCTTTTGCTTGCTTTGGGTGACAAAACATATTTACAGTGTTATTTAAGGACAGGGGAGATTTGCACTTCTTGATGCCCACAGCCCACCTCATGGTTATCAACAAGCGCACTTTGAAATTCTCTTCTACTCTATGGGTCCCAGCAGCCACGCACATTCTTTAACATTGTCTCTGTTGAAACTCACACTCTCTTGTTCACTTTTGTTCACAACACACCAACGGTTATTTGTTTCAGATTATCTTCATGATGAACAGCCAGGCTCTACCCCTCAGTTGGCCATGATGCACACAGGGCAACCTTGGGCCAGCCGTGGAATCCCGGCCTAATGGGGTTGTTATAGGGATAAAATGTGACGGCAAAGGAAGAAGGGGATGGCAGAGGAGGAGGTGGCTGGATGGAGTTACTGAAGTAGTCGGCGTGAGCTCCGGGGGAGGTGGAGGACAGGGAGGCCTGGAGGAGTGTTGCCCATGGGGTCGCGAGGGGTCGGGCACGACTTCGCGACTAACAACAACAAAGCATAAAATGGAAGGGGGGCAGGAGGAGGATGTTAAACCGCCTTGGTCTCTTTGCAAGAAAAAAAGGAGCTCCATATACATTGAAAAACTAAAGACAGATGAACACCTGTGTGAATAGCACTCACTAACTCATAGTTTGAGGATGACATGTATCACGGAGCCTGAACACACAGAATGAGGCAGAATGGACTGTACCGTTCTGGACTACAGAAACCAGTGTTCACCAGATTTTAATGTTCCCCTGCTTTAGAAGCACCCTGCACATTCAAGACAGCAGCAAGTGGAATGGGATAGGTTTTTCTTTTATGGAGCATTTTTTTTAAAAGTGTTCATCTGCTTGGACACAGCCCATTCTTATCGTATCAGGATTCTACTACCTGCTGCTGCTGTGCGCGTCGACCTGGCATTCAACATGTTTCTGCAAAGGGAAGCCTGTTCAAATAAAACTCTCGAGTGAGTGAGAGAGATCACAGCAGTCAGCACTGGCCTGCTACCACCCCTCTGGTTTTTACGAAGTTGTCTGCCTGGAGACTTACCCGCTGGTTTTTACGAAGTTGCTTGCCTCTATCAGATGGGTTACCTTGAGAAAACCAGGTGAGGATCATCTCTTCTGCTAAAATTTCCAGCTGGTAGAAAGTCATCAGTACCTGAAGCAACCAGAGCACAAGTACCTAAATGCATCTAGCCATGTATTCTGGGCCACAAGGTCACAGCAGTCTCATTCCAGCAAGTTGCTTGGCTGGGTGGGCGAGGTGATGGGGCTGAGCCAAGATGAGGATAGCAAATTGTACACAGCTGAAAGAACTCCGACAAATGTGTGCTAATTTCTCAGGCTCCGTAGAAGAGCCAGCATATTAAGAAGGGAAAAAACCCCTCTTCTACCAGCTAGTGGAAAAACTGCCGTCTCCCCCTTGCATTCTTGCAGTGGCACAGCTTAGATACAACAGCGAGTGCTGCTTTAGGCGGGATCCTTAGAAAGAATCTGGACTACCTTGCCAAATATGCAAGCATAACTCCTACCCGCTCCAAACTCAGAAGGCAAACCTGTTCCAGGAGAATATGGCATAAGTTTGCTTCCCAGCAAAACCACAGAGAATTGTGGCCAGCGGAATCCAAATGAGGAGGAAAGGGCAATAACAAGATGAGGGCGCTCCATTCTCTGCAGGGCAGTGGGTTTGGGTTTTGCAAAGAGGGTACCTGGGCAGTTGCACCTCTCCCCTCCCCATGTTTCTTTTAGGTAGGTACAACGCCCGCCAGTAGAAGAAAAGGCTTATCTTGCTTATCACAGGAATCAGCTGGTTAAACAAAAGTTAGCATGGGGGCCAGTGTAGAGAACTTCAAGCTCAATCTGAGCTCAGTGTGGGTGTAATTAGCCAGAAATGGCCACTGGCACCATCCGAGTCTCATCCTCCCAGTCCTGAGAGCAGCCCATGTCTTTTAAGGCACAATTAGCAGGATTTTCCCAACTGCCATCTTGATCGCTTAAGTGGAGATGGTAGGTGCTGATCCCGGTTATCATATACCCAACTACAAAACGTCAACCTTCCTTACCCCACTCTGCATGTCTAAGAACATCAATTGTGCAATTCAGAAATACACCCGAAGCCACACAGAAGCACAAAATATGTCACTTTATAAAGCCCCCAAGTCTCAGTCTTCACTGAAAACTGCCTTCTTAGTCTTCTAGCACAGCAACTATAGGAAATGTGGTTCTTTTTGCTGAGAATTAGCATATATGTGGACTCTTGTTACCTAAGTAGTTCCAGGTATTCACAAAAATGTGCTTTCTAGTTATCTGATCTGAAGTGGATGTCTTCTTGCTATGGGACAGGGAAGAGTTTGCAAGCCAAGGGTATTCATGTCCAAGAAGTGACACTCAACAGCGCTGATCCGCCAGCTGTGCTGACAGGGAGCCTTGGCTAAGAGGGCCCAGCAGCATTCAATCAACTCCTGCCGACAGGCACGTGGCACTTCCCTTCCTGATAGGCGCTGGTTCAAGAAACACGCCATCCCTCAACCAGACCTTTCCCTCTGTGGTAGAAACGCAGGCATATCCTTCCACGCGTCATGAAACTTACTTTGGCCAAAGACATGCAGAGGCCTTCATGCTCGAGGAAGAACTCTTCAATGGCGTGCAAGGCGTCCAAGTGATCTGACGACCGCTTTATGAAGTTCTTGAAAACAGGAGCCCAGTTCTTTAGCAGCTGCCGGTGAGAGGAGGACGGACAAAAAGGGAGGCAGTTTAACGAGAGTATCTTATTTTGCTAGAGAATTTGGCCCAGATGTGCTGGCAGCAGAAAAACTGCTGGAAAAGATTACGGTTAAAACAGCCCATCCATCATGTTCTGTGCACTTACAATGCAAGCTCACTCCTTCCCCAGAACGATAGCGGGCTTGAGCCAAGAATCCTGAATGGCCTTTGCAAAGCTCCAGCTGAATTCTTTGTTAGCATCTGTAGCAACATCCAGATTTGTGAGCAAGTTTAAAACACACAATTCAAGATTTCACACTGGTCCTACTGGGCCCCAGCCCGGCTTGACAGCTCACGAGGAATGAGGCACAGATCTATGGCCTGCACTGTGATGCTGTATTACCACACAGAGTTAAGAAAGAAATATATCAACTCGATGCTCTCCTCTTCTTTTGATTTTGCACAGCACAGCCTCTTAAATCAGGAGCCACAAAAATTAAACTGCTTTTAGATAAGCCCGCAGAGATCTGCACACTGTCTTAAAAGTTTCAAAGGCAACCACCTTTGTAACAGTTCACTTTCTTTCACCTATCACAATGGATTGCTCGGGACTGGTATCTTGCAAAATTCTACTAGTGCCTTGAATATTTAGCTTACGGTTTTGTTTTAAATTAATCTGAAAGTTTAGCAGGTTGATATTTGTTTTGCAAACTTAAATATTTGGGGAAAAGTAGAAATGGCGTAGCTTGTCCAACATGAAGAATCAGAATTTGATCTCAAGCTTCGTTTACACCCAGAGGGCCTGAGCGACATCCTGTTCCTTTCCTCCACACTGTAAGAATGAACAGCAAGTTCTGCAACCTCATTTTAGGCGTACCATGTAAAGGCGTTTTAAGAAATATTCCTATGTTCTACCTTTTGAAAGGGCTCGAGTCAATGCGCAAGGAGTTAGATGTGAACTTCAAGCCAAGAGAACATGCTGGCATGTTAAGCATTGGAAGAATTAGAAAAAGAACCTTCATGTAAGGCCTTAAAAGTTGTTCCACCCATGGAAAATAAAGCTGCCCTTTGAGAGGAAGCAGCTACGACGCTGTACTCAGAAGGGGGTATTCCTTCGCCTCATGACCTAATCCCAGCGTGCAAAGAAACGCTCAGAAGGGTTGCTAGACAGCAACAGGGATCTTGCTGGTCCAGGGTCCCACTGCCGAGAGACCAGCTAGGTCCCCTGCCCACAGGTAAGGCAGGAAGGGTGGCAGCCGGAACAAGGCATGCCTGGATGGACGGGGGTGAGGATGAAGGGGGAGCCACCTGAAGGAGAAAGCTCTGCTGTTGCTAATTAGAGGGAACAGAACTACTTCAGGAAAAGCTTTAGGGTGAAGTAAGACATCAGCTATTAGGTACTGCTATGTAATAGCGGCCCAACAACATTCTAGGCCAGGTACAGCAACTGGCATCTTTCAGGCTAATTTCTAAACTTTTCTGCAGTGTTCACTCCAGACCCTGGGAAAAATAAACTGGAGAGGAAAGGAGAGAAAGTGGAAGGCCCAGACTACTGTGGACAAGCAGCCCCTCACAGACTCCGCCCGAGTGAACATAGCCCTTGACCGTGCAAAGATTCCCTGCTCCTGCTCTGGGTCCTGCATGTGGATGCGACAATCTAAGAAGAAAGCAACGTAGTAAGATCCTGGAATTGGGGGAGGAGGGGGCATTAATGGTCATTGGCAGGAGATGGTGGTTGAGCAGTAACAAGAAAAAGTCAAATACTGAACGAAAATAAGTCCTTTAAGCATTGATATAGTTCAGCCAAAGACTACACAGAAATTTTCAGAGACATTGCCACTTCTCCTGAGCAGCAAATGACTAAAAATGAGCCAAATGAAACATATTAAGAATGCTGGAACAGCTACCACACAAGAGGCATACCATCTTCCATTTATTTCACAGAAACTTTTTTGTTTTGCCTCCCTGCAAAATACAGAGAAGGGAAAGGCAAAGAGAGGAGAAAGGGAGTAAAAGGATACTAGACGGGAAGCGGCTGACACAAGCGATGTGCATGTGTGAGAGAGCAGGACATAAATGAGAAGACTGCAAATCAATGGCATGGTTCCCAAGGCAAAAAAGCCACAGATCCACTGCAAGACCCAGGTGACGTAACGAGGTGCTCGTGGGTACCAGGATGACCTCAGATCCCTTTCCCTCTGCCCCACCCTTCTTATTTCAATTTTCTCAGTGCCTATATTTTCATGCAGAAAACAGCAGGTGATGGCACACAGCTGCACGAGAGGGACAATGGCTGGTGGTTTTGTGTGAGAGGAAGAACGTTATCCACGTATCTGTCATCCCACCCACCGTGGGCTAGTGGTGTTTGTGGGCACGATTCTGATCATGCAACCCCCACTTGGGAGTGGGGGATGCTGTGTCACGTGAAACTGGCAAGTGTGGACCAACCACAAATGGATTGCCTGCTTTGACCTTGCTTAACCATCCTATAATCACACAACACAATCTCCTGTGCATGGGGGCGGGGGGTTGTGTAGATAATCTGGTGCACACAAGTGTTGCAACTCATCGTGGGTTAAATAATCCACAGCAAGGTGTGGCCTGTTCTCCAAACCCTGTCACCGCCCGTGGACAGTGATCCTGATTAAGAGGGGGAAAGGCAGGAGGAAATGTACTTGCGGGAGCAAGAAGAGCTCGCCTTCAGAGAAGCAGGTTTGCCTTGGCGCTGGTAACTCTAAGCTGGGAGGTGTTCAGGGCACGAGGGCCCAGGGAACACCTCTGCGGTCTTTTGTCCTTTGTGACCAGCTGTGCTACCGACGCTTCTTCTGAAGCCACGGCGTGCTCTCGCCCAGGCCCATATGACAAACGCAAGTGTGCCCCCCGGGCCCAAGGCAGCTGCCCATCCCTGGAACTCATATCGTGCCAGATGAGCCAATGGGCCAACTGCAGCGAGGACAGCTTGCAAGGATCAGAAGGACGCCTCAAAGACCGCAGGCTCTGCTGAATGCCGCTCCGGGGGAGCTGCACACCAAAACTCTCCAGGAGAGGAGCTCACTGCCCATGCCGGCAGTCTAAGAACTCTCCCCCAAGGCTCCCTCTGCGTTTGCCCAAGGCATGTCAGGACGCCGCGGTGATTACCAGAGCAGACTGCCCGAAGCAGGAGGGGGGATGGAAGGCAGGAAGCCACCACATTCCTGGCTGAGCTGCCCCCTCAAGATGTAATTAACACTTTGAAAGCAGCAAGGCAGCAGCACTGAATATACAATTTCTTCCAAAGCTAATTAACGGCTTTTGCTATTTTACAGTTCCAGGACAAAGACATTACTAGAGAAATTATCAAAGGCCTTTTGCAGTGGGGGAAAGGGGTGGAAGGGGGAATTTCAGGCAAACAGAGGAGGTAGTTACTCCGGTTCTCAGCCATCAGAACGGGGGAGAAAGAGCTCCATGGCATCTCCTTGACTGAACCCACAACACGAGCATTTGCGCCTTTCTGTGCTACTCTTTAGGAAACTAGACTCTGAACAGCTCTGGCACCTCTTCTATTCAAAGATACCCTCTTCTTTGTACAGCTTTTCCCAACCCTGTGCCCTCCAGTTGTTTTGGACTACAATTCCCAGAATCCCTGGTCTCTGGCCACAGTGACTCAGACTCATGGGAGTCAAAGAACCAAACATCTGATGGCCATCCAGTTGGGAAAGACTGGAGATGCGAATGCATTTTTATAGTACCCCAAAGCCACAGCAGTCTGGGCACTTCAGAAAATAAATGGGAGCCCCAATCCTTCTAGCTGCTTTGGGGTGGATGGAATCTGGTTCCATCCAGAGGATTTCAGCAGACGGAATCCAATTCCTGGGAAGCAGTGAACTGCTTGGTCCTGTGCCACCAACCACACGCAGACCGGCCAAGAGGAAAGGTGCGAGGCTTCTCTTCCTGGGAGCGTAAGAGCCAGTGCCCTGGATCAGCTCAAAGGCTTTTCTAGTCCCCTCTGCCTATGCAATGCCCATGGGAAGCCCACAGAAACGGCATAAGCACCACAGGCCCCTCCTATAATGTAGAGATTGTCAATCTGCTTCTGAAAATCGCTCCAGCATCCCTCGACCTGGAACCATGCACGGGAGATGTGCTGCTTTGCCAAGTGTGAGTATTCTACACAAGGGAGTGACATGTGCATTTACAATGTTTTGGTAGCTATGCAAATTTGCTTTTCTATGATTTCTCTCTGGCCAGAGCAGTGGAAAAACAGTAAAAAACACAATTCAATGCCGGTTTAACCAGGAAACGTGGTCCACGACATTATTAAGAGCATTAAAAGCTAGAAATCAGGACTAAACATATTGCAGCAACTATGCAAAGGCAAAGATCTTCTTGGGAAGCTCTTGTCCCATTTCATCCTAAAAGGAGTAACAGAGCCCTACAAGAAACCCCTTCAGAACAGCACTTCCTGGCCTGCTGATTCCATAGGTCATGGCACATCTTCCATAGGCCAAGCTAAGTACAGATGGATGAGCCAACTCGGTCATCTCTGTGCTGTCTTCACAGCAGTGGTCCCAACATGGTGGAACTGCTTCTCCTGGACTCTATTCAGCAACGGCTTCGAAACAACAGAACAAAAGCCACACGCCGCCTTCAACTGAATGTTTAACTGACTCCTGTTCTCCAAGGAGCTTTGCAACAGGTTCTGCATTCAGCAATGTGCTCCTGTGGGTACATCTTGCACCTGTCCCTGCTTTCACCTGCATGCTCCTTTGCGAGGGTATAGCCCTGAGAGGCTGCTAAACAGACTTCCAGAAAAATAAGCGCTGCTACAAGCAAAAACCTTTTATCCCCCGAAACGTGACATGCCACTGCTCTCTCGTGAATGGTTTAAAGCTACGAACGGAAGCTCACCTGAACTACCAGCATGCAGTAGTGTTGAGGGTCTTTTTCTGCATTCATCTGCTGCAGAGGGAATTCCAGAACCACCCGACTCAGCACCTCCATGACCTCTTTCAGGCCGATATTGTAGGCAAACCTGTAAGGAAACCAAGTCACTGCAGGACATCCTTAGTCATATTCTCCCCTGTGAAAAACCAACCTGTCTTCCCTGTCTGATCACAATTGATGTGTTCAGCTTGAGGGAGGGAGGCAGGGATGGAACAAACATGGCTTTGAACAACAGTGCACAGCTAGCAGTATGATATTGTGTCATTAGATGCCATCCCCAAAGAGGTGAACTTACCAGACCTGGCCTGAAACATCTGACTGTTACTGAAGTCCACAATCAGAATCTGAGATCTCAGGATCTGAGATCTGATTGCAATTTCCAAGGGAGGTTCAATTGGTGGCAACAAGCAGAAGGGCCTTTCCAGTGCTGCCCCCCCACCCTGCCCTCCAGTTACGAAACAAACTCTCCAGTGAAGCTCACCTGGCACCAACTGTAGTATCTTTTTGGTGCCCCGTCTAGTGCAGAGCATGTAATTAACTGCTATTATATTAGGGCATTGTTAGCTGCTTATATAGGTCTTATGATTTCAGCTACTGTAGCTTTTTTACATGTGTTTTAAATTTTGTATGGTAATCGTTTTGTGGTGTTTTTCTTGCGGTTTGCATTTGATACTGTTTTTTATGTGTTCCAAACCACCCAGAGAGCTTTGGCTGCTGGGTGGCAGAGACATAAAATAAAGCAAACTGTCCCACCACAAGAACCTCCGCTCTGCTGAGGAAAGCGAACGGAACAATTTGCGTTCACGGCTCTCAGCCGGCTTACTAAGGCGGCTGTCTGGTAGCATCACCAGGCTGAGGACAGGAACGCAGATTGTGGCTTCGCATGCAGAAGGGCCCGGATGCAGCCTATGCCCTCTAGAAGTGCAGCCGGGAAAGATCCGGTGCTTGAGAGGCTGGAGGACGGCTGTGCAGACAACGCTGATCTGAACAAGCCGCCTTCCTGTCCAGGGGCAGCACCGTGTGAAATTCTCCCATGTCCACCTTCTCACATCCTGCTGCTTTTACAAAAGTGGACTTGTTCAAGATGGGCCGGTGTGCAAAAGGAGTGTGATTTGCCCAGTTTAGAAGGTGTGATACAGGAGTCATTTGTATCAATGTCCACTGAAGGATTTGGCATTTTCTGTGTGCTGAACTCTGTGCTTAATTTCTTGCTAGCGAAACACTTGCTTGGATCCTTCTATCTACCCAGGAGAGAACACAGGAAGTCTGCGGCATCCCTTCCTGCGTTTCCGATCTATGGAGCAGCCCACCCGCTTTGGGAGCCCATGGGGGGGGGGCGTGCGAAGTCCCAAGGCAGGAGAAGCTCATGGCCTAGGCACACACTACCAGGGCTACTTTTCTCCCAGAGATTTAGCAACGCAGCTGGTCAAACATCTCTGCCTACTATTGAAGTGCCAGAGAGGTATCGCGGCTACAGGAGGGTCTGGCACAGCCACTCCGAGCTGCACCCCGCCCCGTTCCCTGGTTGGCTGGCTTTGGGGGACAGCCTGAGACACAAGCAGCCTTGAACAGGGCAACATAGGTGCTGGATCAGTGCTCCAAATTTTATTTTATTATATCCTGCTTCGAAAGGAATAATCCACAGACCAGCAGGCCAACTGCATGCAGCGGACAGCTCCTCTGCTTGCCTCCAGATTGGGGGACTTGGCAGCCCGCCCGCCCACCATCACAACAGTGCTGCAAGGCTCAGAGATTCCACAAACATGGTCTTACTTGAGAGAGTTGATCTCCAGAACCAGGTTGTCACAGGAGATGTTCTCCTCCTCACCCCTCTGCAGCGTGCCCAGCACCTCATTCTGGAAAACTAACCAGGGTGGGAGTACATCATTAGTTCCAACATGGAAAAGGCCAGCCCGAACACAGTGCCAGCAACAGAAGTCAGCATCGGCTTCCAAATTTGCAAAGCTGAGGGGCCAGCACGGGATTCCTTAATTCAACAAACTGGTTCCCCCTTCATGCAGTCCAAAGAGGCACACGCCTGTGGAGCCGTTACCTTTGATGTCATCCAACTGAGGGGAAACTGGCCGACTGTCTAGCTGCTCGGATCCAAGACTCACTTCGCTTTCCGTCTCGCTTTCTTCTTCGGCAACTACAGTGGGGCCTAAAAAAGATGGGGAAAGATATTCTCCAGAGGCTGAGAGCTGATCCTTGCATCCTGGATCCAAGTTGCCGAAAAGGGAGCTGCTTCTGGGGTAGGCATGACTCTGCCTGTGGATGCACCAGTCTACATGCCCCCCCCCCCACATGAAGGGACACATCTAGGGCACCTGCCCACCTGAATCTTCCTAGGGCACCAAGCACTGCTATACTGACATGGCCTTAACACAGAGCCAAAGCACAACTTACATGGCTCAGAAGAAGAAAAGGTACTGCCTGTTGGCACTTTCGCATGCAACTCCCATGGGTGCCGAGAAGAAACACACAGGGAGGTTACTGGTAGATGGAGCTATGTGTTAAAATCCACATGACACTCGGGCAGCAGGAGCTCCTCAAGCCCGTAGGTCCGTGGCTCCATTCCTCCTTACCCCAAAGACTTTGCCTTTGCTCCTCCTGATCTGCGTCGTTCCCATCCTCCGCTTTCCAGACATAGCCTCTGCCCTCTAAGCCAACCTCTGCGACGTTGTAACCTAGAAAAGTAGGCAAGATTGGCTGGCTCTCAGTCACCTCAAACACAGGCTGGCCTCAGAGAAGGCGGCAGCCAACGTGACTTGCAGACAGATGCGATCCAAAAGGGGTAGCCACCTCCTGAATACTGAAATTGAGCTTGTTTTTAAAATTGAAATCCTCTATGAAAGTTAGCAAGTAATGCCAATTACTCCAATTTCACACAGAAACCACACAAAAAGACAAGTCTATCAGCACAGCTTTCCTTTGAAAGCGAACCAAGGTATTTGTATCCTTTCTTCACTGGAAGAACAACTTTTTTTAGATTCAGTTTGGTGCTGACAGCAAAACAAAGAACCCAAGGTAGATGCAGCCTGGGCTATTCAACACTATGGGTATATCTGGGACTGAAGGACCTCAGGGAGTTTTAGAATTATTATTTTCCAATGCAAGATCTGGTTAACTGTTAGTGCAGATTAGGAATTTGAGCCTAAGTTCGTGCGCACTGGATCCTCACTTTTCCTCATGTGTGTTGCTCCCTCAACATACATTTAAAATAAGAAAAGCATTTCGAGACAAAGCTGAAGGTCTACCTGATCAGGCACCTTCTCAGAGGGGCCAATCAGAATCATGCAGGGCACCATCCTATGCATGTTTGCACAAGGGAGTCCTACAGTGCCCAGCATGCTAAGAATTGTAGTCTTTTCTGCCTCAACAGGTATGTCCCGCTTTTCTACCAAAAACAGAGTCTCCCAGAACTGGCAAGCCTAGCAGGAGGGCAAGAGGCCACCCCTGCTGCTCGGCCTTCGCCTGTATGATATGTAGTGCCCCAGTGACACTGAACACAGATGTCCCATTAGCCATCTTGAAAGGCTATGGATTCCTTTCTCTCTTTATACAAGAAGCAACAAAAATATATATCCTCCTCTTCTACATCAATATTTCATAAACCTCTATCCTGCCACCTTTAGTTACCTTTTGTTTCCACTAACCCCCCACCTGGCCAAATATTTTACCTTATTTTCAGATGACAGATACTCCAATAAAAATAATGCAAGCCTTTCTGAAAATGCAGAGGCTGAAATTTCACTTGCCATCAAGCAGTGAAAAAAGGGCTCAGTGTAGCTGTAATCCCCATCTCCGAGCAGGAGCAGACTAAACAATGACACCTTGTGGAAATACAAATTTAATCCCAGCTTCCAAAAGAAAAAGTCACCTACACCTCTCCAATGGGACATTAACCCCACAAGTCAGCCACTATTTGAACGGCAAAGTGGGAATGGAGGGAACAGGACTGAGCTGGGAATCCAGTATTGAGTCCACAGTCTATCCCCTGGTCATCTCCCATGCCCTCCCCACTGCAGCTGTAGGAATGGTATTTTAACTTCTTGTGTACTGCATTACAAACAGTGGAGCATCTTCTACCTTTCAAGAGGGAGCAAACTCCAGAAACAGACGAAGTGAAAACCACATGCAGAGGATTAAAGAAGACGCAAGTGCTCCAGACAGAAAAGAACAGCCACCTTTTAGCTTCGCTTTGCTGTCTTCTTTGGTCACCCCAGAATCATCACTGAACTCATCATCGTCTTCCTCTTCTTCATCTGCAGGATGCAGAGAGATGACAGTGCCTTCCGGAAGGACAATGTCAGGGCCCACTACCACCTAAAAAGCAAGCAGTGTTTGCATGTGTGTCAGAAAGACCTGGGCTCTGGTGTACTCCGGGAAATGAAAATATTTGCAAACTCCAGCCCCAGGATCCTGGAGTAAGTATGTGGGTGGATGTTCTAAATGTCCCTGAGGAAGGACCAAGAGGAGCCCACAAGTTCTCGGGGCTGCCAGAAAGTTTGATTCTAGCCATTGCTTTCACGCTGTGCAAGAACCACCAGTCATAACTGGTCATGCTTTGCCATCGCGGTGCCACAGGGACCCCTGTGTGACAGGTCGAAAGAATGAAGGCTGGGGGAGTGACTAGCTCAAAGCCCGTGCAAGCAAATCTAGGGGTGCCACTCGATCTGAGCAGAGGCGTCGTGGAGGAAGAGGCCCAGCACACCGTCCACGGAACCGTCACAGCAAGAATAAGCCAAAGGCAGAGCAGCCGTTCCGGGGACCCACCTGGAAGCTGAGGACACAGCGAGGATTCAGTGTCACCCCCTTCTTCACCTCGACCTCATCGCAAACGATTGACTGCTGGATTTTCACGTGGTCGCCGACACAGACGCCATCCCAGAGGAACGCCCTGTCTAGAATCACCTCATCGCCTGGCAAAGACCAAGAAGAGCACATGGGCAAAAAGTTCACTTCGCGAAGCACAACCATGAAGGAGCACGTTTAAGACAGGGAAAAGTCCTACAGTTGCCAACACTCCCCAGAAACACTCAGCATCATCATGAACTTTGTGTTATGCATGTCCAAAAACGGAGGAGCACAATGACACAGATGGGATCCAGAGCACCTTAGCTTCCCTCTTGCTTGTCTGTTGCTCTCACTGTCCTGCTTCCCACCCCTGCTACACATCATCCTTTTCCTGTCCAGCTATTATAAATTGCAAGTGCTGTGTTACCTCCCATGTTCAGCACAGCACCTCCTCTGCTGATACAGCACCAGCACCGTAAGACAGTTCGCAACACTTTACTCACAACATTTATATCCAAATAGTCCTCAAGGTAGGTTACAGGCAGACAAACATACCAACCAGCCCCCTCCCCATCTATGCCTCCAACGCTTACACTAGGAGTTCCCTACATGCCAGAAGCTAGTGTTTGACAGAGTAACCCTTTAGGCTTGGCTTCCCTTCTGATGTATTAAAAATGTCCACATGTACAGAAATGTTTATGTCAGGAAACTACCCTCCTGCCCCCACACACCTTCCTTCTCAAGCGAAGCATGATACATTCGGTTTCAGCACAGGTCAGGGTACCAGCAACCTGTTATACAGACTGAACTTATAAAAACTGATTTTCTAAAACTCCAAACAGACCAGAGATCCAGCTTTCCTACCAATCAGGATGAAAGTCTGAAGCACTCATTTCAGCAAGGGCCAGTTGGACCTGCCCATCCTTGATCATAAGCTCAACCGATAGGCAGATGGAAGTGCTACACGTATAAACTAGGATCTGCAGTGATCATGTATAGAGCAGTGTGTCCGTGTGAGGGTGAGCCAACTTTTACAGCAAAGAGATGCTCTGGTACGGATACATGACTTCTACCTACAGCTCTTCTTCTGGCGCTTGTTTCTCAGTTAGGTTTACACTTGCATCAAAGCATGCCTTGGGGGATGAGGCACCAGAGAAGAGGCTGTGAGGAAGCAATCCCGACATATGGGACAGAGCAGAACCCCACGCCAGTCAACAAGGCACTACTGTCCCGCAAAGTCTGAAGCCCACCCCTCACTTAGGGAACACCCAAGCTTAAAGCGTCACCCAATATCATGTGCAGCCTAAAGTAGCACAGGCCCTCCCATCCCCTCCTCCCCGTGGTTCGTGTCCTGCCTGCATCACAACAGTGAACAAGCAGCCACAGCAAGACTCAGCAGTAGCACAAACCGCTCAGGCCTGACTTCAGCCCATCCCTGGCTTCTGACTTCCCGATTCCGTCTATCAAAACTCAATCGATAAACAGCGGGTGACTCCTCAGCCAAGCCCCCCACACCTCCTCGTCTCCAAAACTCACCTATCTTGCAGTTGGGGCCAATGACACTGTTGGTTATCAAGCATTTTCGGCCAACAGAAGTTCCCTGCCCAATGAGGACATTTTCTTCCAGGATACTGTCGTGGCCCAGGCTCACCTCCGCCCCCCGGTAGATATTGTGCCGGGAATGAGCGCAGCTCTGCCTCTTGTTGTTAGTGAGGTTCATCTCTGGAGTCATGGGATAGACCCAGCGCTGCAGGATGTCAAAGGACACTGACTCGTACATCAGCAGGTTGGACACTGGGGCGCCGTATTCTTCGGCTGTCACGTGCATATGGATCTGGTTGCCCAGGACCTGGAGCACAGAGGGGTATTATTCAAAAGCCAGTCTTGCCAAGATGGGATTTGCCCAGCTTCCCAAGGAAAGTAGGCGCCAGTTCAACTTGCTTCCACAAGTCCACTGGGATCTGACCCATGACTTGGTGCTCTTCAGAATTTCAGCTCCCTCATGGCGTTTCTCTCCTTCAGGGTTTTAGTTCTGCACAGCCCTGTTGCCCACGTGCCACCTCACTGCGTAAAGCTATGCTTTGTATGTCCCGCTCTCTTCTGACCTAATTGTCTGCACTCCTCCCCCCAAGAAGTACTGTACATACTCCTGAAACTCTGGGTTACACGTCATGCATCTGATGAAGGAGGCTATAGTCCACAAAACATTATACAAAAATGAGTAAATGGTCCATCTTTAAGTCTCTTTTTTCCATTATTACAGGTTGGGTTCACAATCAATATTTAGACCACAACAGAAGTCGATTTTAAGACCGTTTGCTCCGTAGCCAGAAGAAAGCAGGGCAAAGGAGCCACTACAGGCATGGCATGGCATGGCATTTTATTTTATAAGGTCTTATATATCATCCACTGCAAGTGTCTCGGGACAGTTTTACATAGAAGCGGCAAAAAATAAAATGGAGCACAGCATCCAAAACTTACAGTAAATAAAACCCACCTTAAAACCTAGAAAGCAACTCTTCCCCACTCCACTCTCTTCAGTTCCTGGGGACTATTTTCCAGAGGTGATGGATCACCCAAACATTCTTACTTCCATTCTCCCAGTCCTAACGATTTATTTCAAATTGCTGAAAAATCTGTCTATGGAGATAATCAACCACGCAAACCACACTCACGTCCGTCTGAACATGCCGAATTTACTGCAAATGAAACATGCAGGCGACATTTGCAGAGAACACACAAAGCCCTGGCAACTGACGCAAGGACGCCCCCCCCCCCAACACCTTTTTCCAGGCCCAGACAGCCCCATCCTGTCGCCATGCTGGGTGTCGATCCTCTCGCTGCAGACGTCCACCGTATACTTACCTCTTCATTCACCAAAAGGCCACGGACAAAGTCATCCCGAGTTTGATAATCAAAGTTATCTGTGAAAAGCTCAGCCACCTGTAAGAAGAGGAGAAGCAACCTGAGGGCAAATGTACAAAAGAAGGTCATGCTCCAAAGGATTCTTCCTAGATGATGCAGAAACAGAGCCACTTTGTAATTATGCCTAACAAAAGAGAGACATAGTGTATATACCAAAGCAACTTCGAAGTTAGAAACAGAGAAAAGAGTGAGTCAGAAGGGTCTCCCAGGCCATCTAGTCTGACCCCCGGCTCCAGCCGGCTCCACTCACGACATGCCCACCATGTGCACGTCCAGCCTATCTTTGAACACCCTCACCGATGGGGCCTCAACCACCTCCCGGGGAAGCCCATTCCACACCCTCGGGGTCCCAACTGTCAGGAAGTGCTTCCTGGCATCTAAATGGAACCGTGGTTCCCTGAGCTTTGCTCCACTGGAGTGCGTCCTGCCTTCCTCTGCGGGGGAGAACAGGTCTCTCCCCGCCTCTGTGTGACACCCCCTCATGTACCTGTATGTTGCCAACAGTACCCCTTGGAGTCTCCTCCAAGCTGAAAAGACCCAGTTTCCTCAGTCTCGCCTCATACGGCATCCCCTGCAAACCGGCCACCAACCTTGTGGCCCTACACTGCACCGACTCTAACCTGGCTGTATCGCTCCTGTAATGAGGGGTCCAAAACTGAGCACAGTGCTCCAGTGTGGGCGCACCAGAGCCATATAGAGTGGTATCTCTCTTGATCTAGAAGCCACACTTCTGGCTATGCAACAACCTCACTTCTCCTCATCCAGTTTCAAGGATTTTCTTCCCCTTTTAACCCACCCCACCGCACAGGCTGTTGAAACTCACAGCCCCAACACAAGGTCCTGCAAGAACGATTCCTAGGGAGTGTAGCCCTTAAGATCAAGCAAAGAAACCATATTCCTGGGAAGATGGTGTCGTGCTCCACACCTCCCATTTACTGACAAACAGCTGCACCTCACTGCAAGGCACTGCTTTCCTGCCACCTGCAAGCCAAAGAAACAGCCGTGGCCACAATCCAAGAAGTGGCAGGAGAATCTCAGTGCACCTCACATGCCTTGGAAACTGAACCCATCTGAAGTACAGAAATGGGGAAGGGGTACATATATTTGCTAATTCTGCAGAATTCAGCAAGCGCCTGCTAATCTGTTGGAAGAGGAAAAGGAAATTCTTCTCAGCACACGAAGATTAACGATCTGAAAAATATGCGCAGCACCCGGAGCAGCATAAAGTTAGAAACACATTTCAGCTGTTGCGCTCTATGGCCAGGCTTCTAAGCTCACAAATACCCATCTGCCTCCATCTCCTGCATTCCTGCTGGCTCGCCATTCTCCTTGGCTGCCTCCTGCACTTCCCTCAATCCTCCTCCTACTGGAAGCTGCCACCTCAAAGGGACAAGGGAAGTGGGCTCCAGGGGGAGCCACCACTTCAAGAACCTTCCCTATGCCTAGGTGGGTGCGAGAGAACAAATATGTAAGATAAAAGAACACTGTGAGACCCACATGACATGAGCTCTGCCCTCCCAAATATTACCAGTGGGAAATGTGGCACCTTTGCCATTGCTATAGTGATATGTCTGTCTTGCTTTTCCTCCTGTATGCAACAGCTCAAAGCAACCGACAGCAGATTAAAACTGCTAAAATAATGTTTTAAAATGCCATGGAACTATGAGGGTTCTTCAAAAAGTGTCTGCACTTTCTAAAACTCTATTAAGAATTTCAAAAACAAATTACATCACTTTTTACATAGTCACCTTCACTGTGATGCATTTTCCCCTGCATCGTACCAACTTTTTAATGCTATAAACAAAAATGTATAAAATATATTTATAAAATATAAAAGTGCAGAAACTTTTTGAAGACGCCTTGTATATACATATCCATTTTTCCAGCAAATCTAATGTTTGGAGCTGGGAACAAAGGAAATACACGAATCTACCAATCATCTGCACACCCATCAAACAAGAGGGTCTGCTCTATTTCTAGCAATTTGCTGCATTTAGAACGTCTCTTTTAGCGAGAGCATTTGCAGGTTCAGCTACCAAAGCTAAGGACCACCCCTCCCCGCACCCCCCAAAAAAACCCAGGAATTTTAAGAACCAGTAGAACTTCATAGGAGATAAATGCATTCTCATTTCTTAGGGCTCCAACTATCACAAGTGTAACCACAGCAGAACCTGTGCCTCCTTTTGCTGCAGAATGCTTTGTGAACTGCCCAGGGAGCTTCAGCTGCCAAGCAGCACAGAAATTAAATAAAGAAGACAGATGCTCGCATTCCGCTGTGGAGAAGCTTCATGACCTCCTCCACGTCAGACAGTCTCAGCCTACAGTCTGGGAAGTTAAGCTAACATGCACTGCTGTTAATTCTAGTCAACAGGAAGTTACGTTAAAGAAGCCCGAGCCTCAGATTCATTTCCCTTGGCAGAAACCCTGTAAAACCCACTACATTTTGCGGAACCTTACCTGGGGTGAGCAGATGCTAATGTGACAGTCCAACAAATCATGTCGTACTTGCACTTCTTCAATATTGCTCTGGAACAGGTTCTAGAACAGGAAGCACACCAAGAAGTCCTTGGGAGCCATTCACACAGTGTCCAATACCCACATTCCTCCCTGCTAGTTTGAGGCTAGAAATTCTTCTAGTAGATTCTTCTACTGGAAGAAACAGGTAGAAGCAAGGCCTGGAGCAGACCAGTGGGGTTCACGGGGACCTACCCTAATGCCCAGGCCAAACAGGAGTAAGCACAGCAGCAGTTAGTCCATCCATAAATACAAAGGAAATCAGGGAGTCCATCCCTCTCTTAAAAGAACATAGGCTACAACAAAAGCCAGGATCATGACTGATTCCCAATGCGTTTCGGGTGTATTTATCATCAGTTACTTGCTTTTCTTTTTTCTTTCCTTATAATTTACAGAGCTTTACACTGTAAATAATTTCTTTAAAAACCTTTCTGTCCCTGCTCATGAAACCCCACAGAGCCAGACAGCAAGTCCAGAAGGCTGTGGAGCACTCCACTATGAACCCGCTGACAGAGGGCTGACCAAGGGCTTGGGAAACGTGGCTTCAGTGCCCCATCCGTGCAGTGAGACTTTACATTGCTACACACATGGCTGTCCCAGTACTTCATGTTTCTAGGAACAGAGCTTCGACTCTGAAGGCTGAAATGCTAACGGGGGACATGGAAACGACATGGCCATAAGGAGCTGCTCCATACCAAGATAGATGTCAGAGCATAAGACGAGTCTTGCTGGATCAGACCAAACGCCTAGCTAGCCCAGCATTCTGTGTCCCCACAGTGGCCAATCAGATGCCTGTCTTGCTCAAACAGGGCATGAGCACAGCAGCAGTGGCCCTCCTAGCTGATCTATATGTTGTCTGCATTGATCTATAGCAGCTCTCCAGGGTTTCGGGCAGGACTGCTTTTCCAGCTTGGTGGCAACGTAAAATTCTTCGAAGGGGAAGGTCACAGATGGCCCCTGGACCCTTGAGCAAAACATGAGCTCTATGTCCCACTTAAAAACAAGATTGCCATCTTTTCCCAGGCTGTCTAGGAATGGAGCTGGATCTCTCTGAAAACCAAAGCAAAGATTGTGCACCAAGATCAACAGGGCTCTTTCCAATGTTTAAAGTGAAATATTGGTTTCTCTCCAGCAAAAGCTGTAGATGCCCGATTAGAATAGAGCAACCTGCATTTTGCCACAGCAGGTGTTAAACTCCTCCCACCTTTTTGGCAAAGAAGCTTGTGGAGTTCCCTGTCAGCCTTTAAATATTAAACCAGTAGCTCACAAAAGAAATTAGGGGAACAATGTTTACGTTTGCTCTTTTTCTAAGATACTTTGGAATCTTTTCTCACATCCTTTTGAACCTGCCTTGCATAGCCAGCAGAAATATTTTCAACCCTCCCTTCTGTCAAAGGTAAACATACCTCCAAATTCTGGACAAGTTAACACATATTCAAGATACGAAAATGAGCGTGATTTTCTAGTGCACAATCAAATCAATACATGTATAAAAACAGGAGCAGAACAACATTTTGTTACTTGGTGACCAGCTGACCCTACAAAAATAGTACTAAGCCCATTCTACAGAGGACAATCTGGGACCAAGATACAATGAAGAGCTCGAGCCGAGATTAATTCCCTACTGACAAGCCAGCTCCTTCTCTAGCCCAAGGTCTTGATGGCGACATCACAGCTTTTCTACCCATGAACTTCTGGGAGAACTGACTTGCCACTTGCTCCCCTTTTAACACACCATGGGAAACCGGAAACACTTCAGCCCTTGAGTTTTCTGATAGTGCAACACTCGTTTTGTAGCGCTGTCCATGGCAAGGACAATGTCATCTTCCTGGCACCTGGATCGGTGACCTGGTTTGGACTCTTTGAAAATCATTGTCATCACAGACACATTCTTCTCCAGCTTACGCCTCTGCCTGTGCAGGACAGGAGAGAAAAGTTGTGCTTTACATGACCCATCTCAGTTCACAGACAATCCCAACAAGAAAGGCTGCTGCACCTTCCTCCTGGATACCCACCTGTGTTCCTGTAAAGCTGAAGAAACATTTATGTTGGACACTACATCTCCGGAGACGAGGATGAAGTCAGAACGGACAAGCGACTTGGCATCGACATCCCTCAAGACATCACCCAGTGAGCGGAAGAGGTCCGAGGTCACAAACTGCACGGTGTTTGGAGAGGCTGGACTCCCCCACTTAGACTTCCTGGCAGAGAACACAGATAGAAAGGAATAAATGGGAAATTCTCCCTCACTGTTTTTCGGACACAAATATAAAACAAAACAGAACTAAACCCCACTCTCTCTACAGATCAGGGGGTTTGTCGTATCCACACAACTGCAGCCATGGAGAGAGTAAGCAAGCAATACAGAGTCCAGCAACATGGGCAAAAATACTCTCTTAAAGACAAGCGCCATGGCTGAGGAAAAATCTGCAAGCATTTTGGAAGCTACTGCTAGCATTTCAAGGCAATTCTATCAGTACCAAAGACCCTGCAGAGCTCTTTGTGTTCCTCCCACCACACTTCTGTATGAAAGCAGAGCAGTGCAATTTGTGTAAAGGAAGTGTGTTTACATTGTGTCCAGTGTGAGCTGCAATTCTAAAATTCCAGACTTAAAAGATCCCAATTCTATGCTCACAAAATCCTGCATTTTAAGAAAGATTTTGTCCATTTGCTACTAATACTTTGCACGCTCTGCAGAATTTGAATTCTTTTTCATCACAGAGACAACAGAATTTTATTCTTATGGCAAAATGGAGCAAATTTAGCCTGAATGGCCACAGTAAAGACGGTCAGTCAAGTCTCCCTCTCTATGAAAGCAGAACCTGTAACCTCTAAATCTTAATAAACTACTGGTTCCATCATCCTTCATAATTGGTCAGGTTGCCTAGAGCAATGTCCAACGTCATCCAGACATTGTTCGACACAACCACAAGGCAGTTTGAAAGACGGACAGATGAACAGATGGATAGACAAGGGCAGAATAGAAGTGTGATATAAGTAAGAACCATATGCCCTTTTGCACAATTGATTTGAGTTGCAGCGTAATGCAGTGATGCCCAAGTTGTCCAAGGCAAGCAGGTAACATCCTAATTTACCTTCCCCAACAGCCGTGAATACCCAACTGCTTCGAGAACACAAAATAATGAAGCACCAACCTGGAACCAATTCTGGGCAGCTCACGTTGCCCCTTAAGCTGCTGACCCCCTACGTTCAGAGGAACCAAGTCTGCAACTATAGACAGTTACTTGGCAGGAAGCACAGGTGAAAACATAATGGTTGAGTGTGGCCAAGTTATTATTCTGAATTCATTTTGAAACAGTTTCTCTTGTTCTTCCTCCACACATACCTCCAAGTTCATTTAGAATCTATATTCAGATTCCCCTGCCCAGCCAAAAACACATGTTTGCCATTCAGAGCCTTTAGTGCACTTTATAAACACAAATCAGCTTTATAAACCCAAACCACTAAATTAATCTACCTAAACAGAGTTAAGACACACACATGAGGTAACTTAGCCCAGATTAGCTATTCTTTATGACACAGCAATATGCAGTGGGGTTCACAGTAACATGACTACAAAGTTATATTACAGGAACTGGTAATGTTGTCCTGTATATGAGGTACAAAAGGAAGCCCCCATCCTCTCCTGGGTAGGTGTCACAGAAACGGAGTTTGCATACGATCATCTGAGGTTTTTGAAACCATCTGTGTATTTAAGCCACCCCAAGGGATATAAGGAATGTTTCTTGCAGACTTGGGAGGAGGTCTCAAATTACTTTTTACCCTGCTGCTGAATCATCCTTCTCCTTCCTGGAACACCTCTTTCTTTCTGTCTCAGTCACAAGGGTAGCCCACACCCCAACAATGCACACTGTGCAGCTGGAATTCTATCCTGTGATAACCAGGCCAAATCTGGAGTATGATGCCTTCCTATGGATGCCACAACCAGCTGCCCAGGATGCTGCAGTTGTGAGGTTTGTGCGTTCAGCGGGAAGGTGGACTAGACCACCCTTCGGGTTTCTTCTGACTCTAAAATGCTACGCTTCTACAAAAGCAGAGAAAAGCACGAGCTGGTGATGCAGCAGCCCATGCGACTTCAAGCACCCAGTGATGGGGCTGATGACTTCTGGCCAGCAAGAACCACACATTCATCATCCGCAAGCATGCCGACCATTAGATGGAGAAGCAAAGGGAAGATGCACTTGCTGGTTAAACCAGACAAGAAGTCTACTTACTGTATATGCTCCTTGATCTCTGCTGACTTCCAACTGCAGAAGACGAAGGTTTCTTCCACCCCAGATGCTGTTAGGAATTCCAGGGTGTAATCTATCATAGCCACATTTGCCAGGGGAATCAAGGCCTAGGGAAGCAAAGAAAAGTCACTCAAAAGTACACAACATTCTACTGTTCTCTAGCATCAGGATACAGGACGCTAACACATCCAGTCAACAAGAGGATTTGGGGTGAAACTACACATTACATTAAATGTGTGATGACAGTTTTATATGAAAAATAGCAGCCATGGCAGGATTGGGAGGGGAGACTAGAATCAGGGCCAACAGCAAGTTGATTCCTTCCCCCCTCAGTGCAGCCCTGAACATCCCACCCCACCCTTCTACTACTGGTGCTTCCCCCTCACCCCCCCCCCAGCTCATATCAGCTGCAAAGCAGTGATATACACCCAGAATGCAATGTGAGGAGAACCGGTCAACCTCCCTTCCCTGCAGCCCCAATCTTAATCAGGTCCCTCACAGCTGCTCTTTGAAAAGACTCAGACATATGGGAAGCATGCAAACCATTTGCCGTAACATGTAGTTTGACCTTGAACTTAACAACTCAATCACCAACTTGCCCCAGGTTTGTAAAATTCATGTGAATGAAACAGCCCTGGATATGCATGGCTAGGTTTGTGGGGAGGGATGTCTGGGAAGCAAGTTCAACTATCAACTAGATTTAGCAGCAGAGAAACCTGCCAGAATCTCAATTAAGTAGCCCACACTGTATTTTGTGATCTCTCAGCTGGCTTAATAAATGTATTGCAGTGCTGCCTGGGCATGAAGGGGGTTACGGTCCAACATGGAGCCAGTGTGGTGTGGTGGTGAAGAGCATGGGACTGGGACTCAGGCGATCCGGGTTCGAGTCCCCGCTCGGCCATGGAGCCTGTTTGGGCCAGTCACAGACTCTCAGCCCAACCTACCTCCCAGGGTTGTTGTTGTGGGGATAAGACGGAGGAGGGGATGTAAGCTGCCTTGAGCCCTTTGTAGGAAAAAGGCAGGATATAAATCGCAATATAAGGCTTGTATAATTGATAACTATTGATTTAAAAGGGATTGCAAACATGCTCAGATTTAACTCAATGGGAACTCCTCCCAAAGGACAATGTACAGAATTGCACTGAAATGCAACTCCTCCTGCTTTACCATTCCTCCTGCTTCATCTGGGCATACCACAAAACACCTAAACACCCCGGTGCGAAACGCATCGCTGGCACAACGCTGTGCTGTGTCATGTTCCAGTGCCTTGTTACAGGATGTTTAACGGATGGTGCAGCCACCCGTGAACCCACCTTCATTTGCATGATCAGAAGCTTACGCTCCAGCTGCACGTGATGAATACAGGAACAGCACTTGTTTTGTTCTCAGCCAGTCCAGACATACGTGGTTATGCCTGTCCTGCACATCCAAGCAGTTGCCAAAGGCAGTATCAGGCAACAGTAAAGCAGTCAATGCTCTCAGGCTGCCAAGACCTCAAATTTCAGAGTGCAAAAATGCTCTCTTGCCACACCAACCATTTCAATGCACGAGAGAAGTAAGGCAGCTATGCTTGCTCCGCTCGCTCGTGCGCGCGCTCTCTCTCTCTCTCTCAGAAAGGCACCCCACAACAGACATATTTTAGCAAGTTAATGAGCACAAAGCATCCAAAAAGACTTGCTGAAACTGAACATTTTTTAAAAAAAAACATTCAACAGTCTGGATTTGTGATTTACTTTTCCTCACAGTCCAACCCACTGGAATCATTAATGCATATAAACCAACTGAGAACCACATGCATTCCATTCCTAAGGGCTCCATTCCATCATGTCTAGACGGGTGAACCAGGGAAACTTTTCCTAGAAACCTGGGCTACTGCTTTCCTTTAAATCTAAGCCTAGCTTTTCATTCCCAAGAAGCACAGGAAATATAGTATCATATTCCCTGCTGCCACTACCTTTTTATTTCCCTCTGTCCTCTTGCTGAACTTGGGGGTGGAGGGTCTTCACATCTGGCCACCTCTTCCCAGGCCAACACAGACTCAGATTCCAGATGTACTCTCTTGCTATCTCTCTTTCTTTCATACACCAACGCATCTTTCTCCCAGACACCCACAACAGTAGCACCTACATCAACAAATTAAACAGCATCTGGAATGCCAACCACTAAACAGATGGCTCCTTTATCAACCTAAGCCTGGATTTGTGGTTTATTTTTCTTCAATGTAGAATGACTGAGAGTCCTGAAGGAAATCTCCCACATTAAAGTTCGAGACACAAGAGGGTCTGGACAGCTGAAATGCATGCTACCACCACCTGAAGTTAACAATTAATGCATCCTGCCTGACGTTAGCTAGGCTTTGGGGGATTGTACCTTTTTAACATTACACCATTTGGGGTTAATTACAGTTCCAAGGTAGCTTCTGGAAACAATTTAAACTACTAGTTGCCACTTTTAAAACCCTTAAGGGCCTGAACTCAGTAATGTGATGATATGCATGCCCTCCCATGCTCGCCTGCTCCCCACGAGCATGAAGACCTGGACCTTCTCAGAAGTGGCACCACTATGTTGCTTCCAACCCAGCTCCTCTAAATTCAGGTTCCTGGAGGTTCCTGTTTGACACTGTTCTAGCATCCATCAACCCCCACAAATGTAATCACACTTCCCAATGATTCCCTGACAGCCATTTGGCACTTCTCTAATTAATCTCTGCCTCTCCAACATGGCTTCTGTCACTGAAACTGCCATCACACAGTGAGTCTTTCTGTCTCTTTATTCTTTATTTCCTTAACCAATCATCCATAAGGTACACCTAAAAATGGGAAGTATTCATTCAAAAACAGGCGTGCAATACAAATACACACTGCCTAAAAGTCTTCCCGTGGCTTGTAATGTCATCACTACTTATAACGTCTATCTATAGGGAAGAATCATATCATAGAAAAGTAGAGTTGGAAGGGGCCAAGAAGACCATCGGGTCCAACTGAGTAAAATGCCCTTTCCCGACAGCTGGCTGAGTTCAGACCCGAGATGAACCACAGTGCCCATGGGTGCCAAGCTACTCCTGCAGCCCCTCATAACCCATCGTATGGTTAACCCTCACATAAGCCATGCTTCCCACGTTTGAATGACACAACCAGCCCCAAATGGGGCTTGCATTTTCAAAACAGCAGTTGCACCTGCCACAGGCTCGCCAGGCTGTCACACTAGTCAAGCCCCAATTGTGGCAAATTCTCACACCGACCAAGAGGACAGCTAAATCATGCTCCTGCTGTTGTAAAGCTTCTTCTGAGCTTTGACTGGACATAGCAACTATTTTCACAAAGTAATAATGTTCTTAATAAGAAGCTTTTGTCAGCTATAAACAGAACAACTGCACCAGCGATTAACCCTGTGCAGGTAAGCAACTGGCTGTAAGATGAGTACCCTGAAAAACCTGTTTACTAGCAACAACGCAGAATGCAAGCATTCCCTGAATACAGGAGCATTTTCCTTGCTTATAAAATACAAGATTAAAGGGTGAAACATCTCTTAGACCAGCCATTAATTCCAAAGCAAGGCGTGCTGTTCAAGGTGCACTGGAATTACTACCTTTGGGGTTAAGCCTCAATACAAATCATTCTCCTTCAGTGAACACTACTCTCCATATTTTAAAAGATGCAAACTAATATTCTGATTAAGGAAAGAGGATTTAATCAAGCTTTGCATTCACCAGATGCAGGGAATAAGGAATCCTAGGCAGGTGAGCAAGTGAATCCAATACAGAATCTAAGTAATTGCAATAACTACAGTAAAAACTACAACTGGCAGAATACTGAGCATGCAAGCAGGACAACCAAGTTCAGAATCTTACTAAAATAAAGGTCCATTAAAAAAGAAGTACAATAACAATCAGGCACAGCTCCTGTGCTTTGAACAAATGAAGGTACTTTACATGGAGATCACTGATCCATCTAGTCTGCAGTAACATTCCATTCCAGCCCTCCCCAAACTGGTGCCTGCTAGATATTTTGGATTTCAATTCCCATCAGCCTCAGCTAGCATGGCCAATGGCAATGGTGTGGTGCAGTCAAAAACATCTGGAGATTCCCAGGTTAAAAAAGGCTGGTCTACTCCAACTGGCAGTAATTCCTCAATATTCCAGAGGCCTTCAACATAGTAGCAAACACAAAAAAATAATTAGACCAAAAGACTTGAATTTCCTGTTCAGTTTCTGCATATGAAGGCAATCTTGAAGACATAGGAATAGAGCCAGTAAAAATATTAACAACAATACACTCACCAGAGCAAGTCAGTCATGCTTTTCTACCCACATGAAAAGGATCTCTTGTTCTAACAGCTGTCTTTCTTCCAGCAATTTAAGCAGACAGATGAAACCTTTCCCAACATGAAGATGCAGCAAGGAGAAAAACGTGTATTCATTTTCTTGCCTCTAAGTTGTCAAAAACAGAGTGCCTCTGTCCACAAGAAGGTAGATACTTAATTTATACGCATTGAAGAGGCTAAGCTTCTCATTGCTAACAGCAAGGCAAATGAAATAAAAAACTTTTTTCTTACGCTGATGAATGGAAAAATACAAATATCTATATTGTGCTGCAAATTTATCTGCAAACCCCCCCCCCCCCCCCGTCACTGATCAGTTGAGCCAATGTAACCATGCAGAATGTTTTCATACATTCTGAGCACTTGGGGAAAGATGCTCTCAGAATGTCAGTGCTGCAGCTTGCATAAGAAAAACACAAGCTATCAGTCTAGTTGGGCTGCGGTGGCTTGAAGAATATCATTGCAGGGCAGGTTGAGGACTGGGAAGAGGCTCCAGAAAATAAGGAACTTAAGGAGAAGAGCACTGAAGCCATGGTGCAATTAGCTGAGAAACTGGAGTTTGAAGAGAACATGACTGGAGAAGAGGGAAACTCAAGTTACACCAAACATGTATTTTGCTAGTTTTTCCTGTTTCCTTAGGTAGAAAACGTAATTTAGTAGCAGAGGGTGCCTGCATGCAAACACTAGTATCTCCAACACAAAGGTGCCAGGAAAGAACCCTGCCCATGACCCTAGACAGCCTCTGCCAGTCAGACTGGATGACAGTGGGACAGCTGGCCCAATGGTCTGCTCTGGCATAAAGAACCTTCCTACGTTCCTGAAGAGTGGCAGTGAAAATAGAGAGTTGGGTTACACCACATGGGGAGTGTCTGGACCTCCAGTTGTTCCTGGACTGCAGTTCCTATCATTGCTCACCAGAGGTTATGCCAGCTTAAACTGATGGATGCTGAATCCATCAGTTTGGATCCAGATGCTGCTGGACTGCAATGCCTATCACCACAAGCAAACACACCCAGCAGTGAGTGATAATCGGAGCTGCAGTCCAGGGACAGCTGGCAGATCAGATACTCACAACCTTAGCAAGACAAGCGAGTACTTCTGTCAAACCTACCTCACAGAGATGTGAGAATAAAATGTAAATTACCCAGAGTTTCTTGCAAAAGATACAGTTACACAGACAAGCAATACTTATAGATAACCTTGGGTGATCCACATAACCACTGTGGGCAATAGCCCTTGATGCACCACAGTACAAGCGATAGCCATTGGTAGGTAACAAAGCTGTTGTGAAAACAAAATAGCAAAGAGGGAAGTCTTAGGTTCCTTGCAGAACGAGGGAGCGAATAGTAGGATGTAAATATTAACAGGCCGACGTTGTCAGGTGCTCCATCTAAGCCGCAATCCTAGGCGTGTTTAGGCAGGACAAAAAAGGCCCTGCAGCTCCCAGCACGGCCCAGCCTTCTTCTCTGCCTAAACATGCGCACCACGGAGGCCTTCGGGGCAAAATACCCAGGCCGCCCTAACTGGAGGCAAGCACCGAAGAAGCGCCTGGGAAGACCAGGATGGCTTCCCAACGCTGCCAGAAGGAACGAGCCCCTTCTCGGCCGGAGGGACGCGCCTTCCGCGGAAGCGCGGCAGCCCCCGGGGGCCGGCGAGGCCTGCCCGGCGGGGGAGGAGGAATCGTGGACAGCGGGGAAGGCGGCCCTGGGCGGCAGCTGCCGGCTTGCCCTCCGCCGCCTGCCCGTCGCTCACCCGAGGGCGGTCCTTGGAGATGGGGAAGAAGCGGCGGTTGAAGCTGTCGGCCACCAGCACGGCCTGGAGCGGCGGAGGCGGCTCCTCCTGGGGCCCGGACCCGCGGGAGCCGCCGGACCCGGCGCCACGCTTCTCCTGGGCGCCGCGAGCCGCCATCTTCTTTCACGCTCGCCTCTCTCGCGCGCGCGCGCGCACGCGGCCTCGCGGCGCGCCACTTCCGCTTCCGGGGGAGAGGTGGGGCGACGGCGCCGCCGAGGGGCCAAACCTGAGCGGAGCGCGCAGACCCCGGCTGAGCGGCGGCGTCGTTCCGCGGGCTCCTCCGTCGAATCGCATTCTTACTCTGACGTCCTTGCACTTGTACTGTCGTTCATATTTTATTTATATTTTCAGTTTTGTCCGTGTATGTGAATAATGTTAGTTATTTTTGCTTTTCGTTTCATTTATATGTTTTGCTTCTATTCACTCATTGCAAACTATTGATTTTACTTTTATTTGAAAGCATTCCTGTGTAGCGAGGACTGGAGTTTATTATTTGTATTTTTGCATTGCATTTACAGCCAACGTTCCTTTCTCTCTGAAGAGCCCAAGAAGGCTTGCACAGCTCCACTTCACCCTCACCACAACAACCCTGTGAGGTAGGTTGGGCTGAGAGTGAATGACTGGACCAAAGTCATCCAGGTGAGCTGCATGGCCAAGTGGGGACTAGAACCCAGATCCTCCAGGTCTCTAGTCCAACACGATTTGATCCAAATTAAGGGTAAATGCTATTTTGAGTTGCATTAAGAGAAGTATCGCTTCCAAATCCAGCAAAGTACTAGTTCCCTTCACTCAGCACTGCTTAGTTCTGGGCACCACGCTCCAAGAAAGATGCAGACAAGCTGGAAAGGGGTTCAAAGGAGGGCAGCCGTGATGATCTGGGGACAGGAAACAAAGCCCTCTGAGGAGAGATGGAAAGAACTGGTCATGTTTAGCCTACGGAAGAGAAGACTGAGAAGAGATACGATAGCATGCTGCAAATCCTTGAGAGGCTGTCACAAAGAGGAAGGCCAGGATCTCTTCTCGGTCATCCCAAAGCGCAGGACAAATTCCAGAAAAGTTCAGGCTGACCATCAGGAAGAATTTTCTGACTATTATTAATGGGTCCGTTACCCACCTGGATCGATCACCGGTAATTCACCTGCTGGCCACCAGAGGGAGCTCCTGCTCTCCCGGAGGCTCGCATCTCTGCCTGTGCGTCTCGGCTCCAAAACGCATTTCCAGCGCCAGACACGAGATTATGTCATGCATCACACTGGCGCCAATTCCACGGAATTTCAGAATCATGCCCCCCATCTGTCATGGTAGGGTGGCCACTTGTACCTCACAAAACTGGTCCAAAGAGAATGCAGCAAATGCGCCCATGCAAATTTACTCTCATAAATGTGAGTTTAGAAATAATCAGTGTGATTCAAACAGAAACCGTCCCTGCTGGGTGTTCAGTCTAGTGGCCAGGCACCGGCAGCACACGGGCACCTTCAGGGGCTCGCGGGTCCTCTCTTCTTGGCTTTCATCCTTAAACTGGACTTGGACTGGACAATCCTTCTGATGGAGGGCAGCTTCAAATAGAGAGCCGTCCTCTGGGGCACAGGGGAGACGGCCACCCTATTTAACATTGGCCTCCCAGTGAAGGGCATTCACCTGCCCCATCTGCATCCGGAGTGCATCACTCTGGATCGGCAGGTCTCGGTTGGATCGTGCATCACAAGAGCAAGTGTTCAGGTGAGCCCCTTGCAGGGGCAACGCACAAGCAAAGCTCTTTCTGGAAATCTCTCACTGCAATGTTAGTGCTTGTTGTTTGGGATATGAGGTCAGAAGCAGGAAATACTGCACTTCTGGCCGTTTAAAGAACAGCTGAGTCTGGGACTTTTTTCCCTTGGAGACTGCAGAGTCATCCCTCCCGTCTGGGCAGAGTCCGTATGGGCTAATGCGGTGGTGGGGAACTTCCATACCTTCCGTATTTGGCCCACAAGGCTTCCCGTTCTGGCTTATTTACTTATTTGTTCATTCACATATTTATAGGCTGACTATAACTGCCAAAAGGCCTTTCTGGGTGGCTTGCAGAGGACCTTTGTGGTCCCTGCCCTCTCCCTTGAAATCATCTTTGCCTGCTTAGAGATTTCTCTGTCCGGATCTGTACCACCCTCAGCACAGAGAGAGGACCTGGCAGGATGCGTGGAGGTTTTTCCACGCATCCAAGCCGTCTCTTTGGCCACCAGACCAAACCCTCTTCCTTGCCTCCAACATAATGGATTGTGGCACATCCGGGATGTGATGTCAGAATTGCAGAAGGGGATCCTCCTGAGCTATGAAGCTGCCTGAGTGATCTCGCGCTCTCTTCTGCTCTTTCCTTCCCTAGCCTACCTGGCAGGATTGTTGTGAAGAGACACCCACAAGTGAGATAACCCAGGTGTGCCACATTGAGCACCCTGAGACAGAAGCGTGGCAAATACCAGCCAGCCCCTCTTGAAGGAGAAGCTAATTTAAATGACATTTTAAAAGGATGCACAGCAATTTCTTTTATTCTGATGCTTTTATTGTGCTTTTACTTGACTTTGTTGTTTAATGTTGCATGTTAATTAAGATTTTAGTTGTGATCTGCGTTATTGTCTGCTGCTTGAGTGCCATTTTATGGCAAAAGGAGGGAGGTAGACACTTAATAAATAAATCAGTCTTGCTTTACTCAGCACTTGAGCTAATGCCTGTTTAGTTATTTATAGCTGTAAGCATTTCATCCTGGTCTTCAGCCCCAGAAATCCATCGAGCCTCTGTACAAGAAAGAACCGAGGAGCCTAGTGGTTAGGCTGGGACTTGGGGGACCCGGGTTCTAGTCCCCACTCGGCTATTACGCTCACTAGGGGACTTTGGAGCAATCATGGACTCTCACCCTAGCCTACCTCACAGGGTTGTTGTTGCTGAGGTGGTCTCTGTAAGCCATTTCATGATCCCCACAAGAGGGGAAAAGGAGGGATATAAATGCTATGTAATAAAAGATCAAGAATGAGCACACAGAGATGGAGAGGAAGAATAAAGACAAGCAAACCTGTTCTTGAAGTAACAAACTCTGTTTCTACTGATTCATGTCGTTTGGTTGCATAGTTTCTGTATGTCAAAATATCTTTTTTTTAATCCCTAACTGGATTAGGGCCTAAATGCACATGTTATGAAAAGTGTTGCTTGCAGAGAAGTCAGGCTGGTCGATTGATTTGTTTGGTTAATTGAAAACCAAGCCAGGGAAGCCGGACCACGTCAGATGGAGGCGGTTTAACCTTCTCCACTGCTACTGTGAGTGACCTCACAAGCGGTCTCTCTGCACCCCGTGCTGCAGACACTGATGGGGCGAGAGCTGCCATACTGTTCAAAGTGGAAGGGGCATTCGCTTTCCCTTTGTGATCGTGGCAGTGTGGCCACAACGCAATGACCTTGTGATGGGCAGGCTCGGCTTTTTGCGTTTTTCAGCTGGTTTCACTACAGGCAATGCACTTGATGCCGCACGAACAGGGCTCTTAGGAGCAGCTTAAACAGAAATGCTCGAGGGGGAGCAAGATGGAGCTGGTTTCTCCCCCAAGAGAATGTTTGCAGGTGGAAAGAGAGAGTGACAAAAGGCAGGGAAATGCCACCCCTCTAGAAACTGCTGCCCCAGGCAGCGCTAATGCTTGCTTCGCGGTAATGCCGGCCCTGCTTCTGGCACCTCAGGTCGCCCTGCCCCAGTGACATGGGCCAGTCCCGCCGTGGTTCCCTGAACTACCTACTGGGGATTGCCGCCTTTCAGCAACTCTTGCCCAATGTGTCACACTCAGCCTTGCTGGCGTTGCCTGCCCAGAGCCAGGTTCCCAAGCCACGCAGTTGGCAAGGACTGTTGGGCTTGTGCAACGTTCGTGCGTAAGAGGCCAAGCCTGGTTGCACCTTTGTCGAAAGCCTCGCCATGTGCTCCTGACAGATCCGGGTCCAAGCACCGACCTCATCACAAAATTCACGCGCTGTGCGTGCTTAACTCTGCTGAACCTGCATCTCAGGTGGTTACTGAAGATGGTCCGGATACTTCAACTGGTTCAGAACAGAGCTGCCAGGTTGCTAGCAGGGACCAGCAGATACATAATGCCAGTCCTGTACCAGCGGCACTTGCTTCCAGTTGACGTCTAAGCCCAATTTAAGGGGCTGGTGATGACTTATAAAGCCCTAAACGGACCTGGATATTTGAAGCAGCGCCTCCTTCCATGTACCTGCCCGGCCTCTAAAATCTGAAGCGAAGGTCCTTCTCCAGGAGCACTCTCTGAAGGAGATCAGAATAATGATAAGAGCCTTCTCTGTGGTGGCACCCGACTATGGAATCAGCTCCCCAGAGAGGTTCACCTGACGCCAACACTTTATTCTTTTTGGTGCCAGGCAAAACCCTTTTTATTTTCCCAGTATTTCAAATGTTAGCGTTGTTCTTAATATTGATTTATATTTTATGTTTGATGCTGTGCCCTATGCATTTATGTTATTGCCACCCTGGGACATTGTAAAGGGCGGGATACAACAATTTTAAATAAATAAAATTCATGAATAGCACCAGTTCTACAACAGGTTCCCAGCAAGGGCAAAGTGGCTGCGGATGGCGATGCCTGAGCGCATGGCGTCCGCCATACTTCTTGGTTTGCAGCTTGCGCATCAGCCCAAACAAGCAGCAGCTCAAGTGGAGAAGCAAAGGGGGAAGCGGCGAGTCCAGAGAAGGCCGGGGTGGCAGAGGGCAGAGGGAGGATGCCCAGAAGGAAGAGCAGCAGCCAAGGAAAACAGAGGCGGACGAGGAGAAAGGCAGGA